ATGTCTTCAGTGTCGTCTCTCAGCTGGTCGGCGATTCACTGTCCAGGTCATGATCAATGGATGTCCAGGTCATGACCAGTGGATCTCCAGGTTATGGTCAGTGGATGACTGTGTCAATGTCACAGTGAAACAGTCATCCTGAAGAAAGAGTTTGTGAGGACCCATCAGTTTTTCGCTACTAGTTATGACTGTGCCACTGTAAGAGTGGCAGTCATAACTAACAGTGATGGTCATAACTAGTGACAGTGTAGTGAGGAACTGCAAAAGTGATGCAGTGATAATTAGTGACATATTATGTCAGTGCTGAGGAACTGCAACAGTGACAGATTGATAACCGGTGTTTGAGTGGAGTCAGGATATCAGCTGCAGTAATTAAACTACTGTACTCCCTTATCTATCTATCTATCTATCTATCTATCTATCTATATATATATATATATATATATATATATATATATATATTATATATATATATATATATATATATATATATATATATTTATTCTAGAATTTTTTTTTATAAATCCTTAGCTAAATTTGGAGAGAAGACAGCTTAATCAGGAGTGGCTTGCCTTTAAGGGCCGACACATCATACACTATTTTCGTGGAGGTTGGCTGCTCTGTCATTATTAAAATGAGACCAAGGCAAGGATAAAGCTTCCTCCTTCACAAATATTTAATTTACCTGTATTTTATAACCCAAAATTTACATTGCCTGAAGAATAATTATAAGAGACAGAAAGCTTTTTATCATATATATATATATATATATATATATATTATATATATATATATATATATATATATATATATATATATATATATATAATATATATATATATATATATATGTATATATATATATATATATATATATATATATATATATATATATATATATATATATATACATATATATATATATATATATATATATATATATATATATATATATATATATATATATATATATATATATATATATATATATAAATATATATATATATATATATATATATATATATATATATATATACTATATATATATATATATATATATATATATATATATATATATAAATAGCTCTTGTTCTTCTTTATTTCTTCTATTGTCCATGGGGAAGTGGAAAAGAATCTTTCCTCCGTAAGCCATGCGTGTCGTATGAGGCGACTAAAATGCCGGGAGCAATGGGCTAGTAACCCCTTCTCCTGTAGACATTTACTAAAAAAGAAAAGAAGAAAAACTTTATAAAACTGGGATGCTTAAATGTGCGTGGATGTAGTGCGGATGACAAGAAACAGATGATTGCTGATGTTATGAATGAAAAGAAGTTGGATGTCCTGGCCCTAAGCGAAACAAAGCTGAAGGGGGTAGGGGAGTTTCAGTGGGGGGAAGTAAATGGGATTAAATCTGGAGTATCTGAGAGAGTTAGAGCAAAGGAAGGGGTAGCAGTAATGTTGAATGATCAGTTATGGAAGGAGAAAAGAGAATATGAATGTGTAAATTCAAGAATTATGTGGATTAAAGTAAAGGTTGGATGCGAGAAGTGGGTCATAATAAGCGTGTATGCACCTGGAGAAGAGAGGAATGCAAAGGAGAGAGAGAGATTTTGGGAGATGTTAAGTGAATGTATAGGAGCCTTTGAACCAAGTGAGAGAGTAATTGTGGTAGGGGACCTGAATGCTAAAGTAGGAGAAACTTTTAGAGAGGATGTGGTAGGTAAGTTTGGGGTGCCAGGTGTAAATGATAATGGGAGCCCTTTGATTGAACTTTGTAAAGAAAGGGGTTTAGTTATAGGTAATACATATTTTAAGAAAAAGAGGATAAATAAGTATACAAGATATGATGTAGGGAGAAATGACAGTAGTTTGTTGGATTATGTATTGGTAGATAAAAGACTGTTGAGTAGACTTCAGGATGTACATATTTATAGAGGGGCCACAGATATATCAGATCACTTTCTAGTTGTAGCTACACTGAGAGTAAAAGGTAGATGGGACACAAGGAGAATAGAAGCATCAGGGAAGAGAGAGGTGAAGGTTTATAAACTAAAAGAGGAGGCAGTTAGGGTAAGATATAAACAGCTATTGGAGGATAGATGGTTGGTGCAATTATTTAATAAATGTATGGAAGAGGGTAAGGTACCTAGGGATTGGCAGAGAGCATGCATAGTTCCTTTGTATAAAGGCAAGGGGGATAAAAGAGAGTGCAAAAATTATAGGGGGATAAGTCTGCTGAGTATACCTGGTAAAGTGTATGGTAGAGTTATTATTGAAAGAATTAAGAGTAAGACGGAGAATAGGATAGCAGATGAACAAGGAGGCTTTAGGAAAGGTAGGGGGTGTGTGGACCAGGTGTTTACAGTGAAACATATAAGTGAACAGTATTTAGATAAGGCTAAAGAGGTCTTTGTGGCATTTATGGATTTGGAAAAGGCGTATGACAGGGTGGATAGGGGGGCAATGTGGCAGATGTTGCAAGTGTATGGTGTAGGAGGTAGGTTACTGAAAGCAGTGAAGAGTTTTTACGAGGATAGTGAGGCTCAAGTTAGAGTATGTAGGAAAGAGGGAAATTATTTCCCAGTAAAAGTAGGCCTTAGACAAAGATGTGTGATGTCACCGTGGTTGTTTAATATATTTATAGATGGGGTTGTAAGAGAAGTAAATGCGAGGGTCTTAGCAAGAGGCGTGGAGTTAAAAGATAAAGAATCACACACAAAGTGGGAGTTGTCACAGCTGCTCTTTGCTGATGACACTGTGCTCTTGGGAGATTCTGAAGAGAAGTTGCAGAGATTGGTGGATGAATTTGGTAGGGTGTGCAAAAGAAAAAAATTAAAGGTGAATACAGGAAAGAGTAAGGTTATGAGGATAACAAAAAGATTAGGTGATGAAAGATTGAATATCAGATTGGAGGGAGAGAGTATGGAGGAGGTGAATGTATTCAGATATTTGGGAGTGGACGTGTCAGCGGATGGGTCTATGAAAGATGAGGTGAATCATAGAATTGATGAGGGGAAAAGAGAGAGTGGTGCACTTAGGAGTCTGTGGAGACAAAGAACTTTGTCCTTGGAGGCAAAGAGGGGAATGTATGAGAGTATAGTTTTACCAACGCTCTTATATGGGTGTGAAGCATGGGTGATGAATATTGCAGCGAGGAGAAGGCTGGAGGCAGTGGAGATGTCATGTCTGAGGGCAATGTGTGGTGTGAATATAATGCAGAGAATTCGTAGTTTGGAAGTTAGGAGGAGGTGCGGGATTACCAAAACTGTTGTCCACAGGGCTGAGGAAGGGTTGTTGAGGTGGTTCGGACATGTAGAGAGAATGGAGCGAAACAGAATGACTTCAAGAGTGTATCAGTCTGTAGTGGAAGGAAGGCGGGGTAGGGGTCGGCCTAGGAAAGGTTGGAGAGAGGGGGTAAAGGAGGTTTTTTGTGCGAGGGGCTTGGACTTCCAGCAGGTATGCGTGAGCGTGTTTGATAGGAGTGAATGGAGACAAATGGTTTTTAATACTTGACGTGCTGTGTGAGCAAAGTAACATTTATGAAGGGGTTCAGGGAAACCGGCAGGCCGGACTTGAGTCCTGGAGATGGGAAGTACAGTGCCTGCACTCTGAAGGAGGGGGTGTTAATGTTGCAGTTTAAAAACTGTAGTGTAAAGCATCCTTCTGGCAAGACAGTGATGGAGTGAATGATGGTGAAAGTTTTTCTTTTTCGGGCCACCCTGCCTTGGTGGGAATCGGCCAGTGTGATAAATATATATATATATATATATATATATATATATATATATATATATATATATATATATATATATATATATATATATATATATATATATACATCAGCTCATGTTTTTATCCCGCTCTTTCTCTCTCTGGGGTATTTGGAATTGTACAGTTTGGTGTCATGCAAACTAAAAACAAATAGGTACTTTAAACAATGCAAAATAAGCTACTAAGGGATTTGAAAAACACCAACTGTAGGCCTTTCGCCCTTCCGTGCTTCGTCAGGAGCTATGCAATGTCACAGGAGTTCCAACACGTAGGTTGCTGGGAATAATTCTCTCACAGGTAGGAAAGTGCGTCTAGCACATGGGCTGTCCTGTAAAAGAGAAGTTCAGGGCCACCACACCCACACATCACCCACACGTGGGGTGCGTTATACCCTCCAAGATTTACAGAAAGCAGAGGAGAATGATTACGAAAACTTGAAAGACCGCCAGGATAGTCAACATCAATTAGTTTAGTACCATAATAAAATCATGTTAGATAGTTTTTCTCTCTATTAAGTTGGTTTGTGTGGACCTTGGAGTAATGTACTTTTATTTATTTTATTTTAGCATGATACAATGTTGTACATAGATGAGTGACATTTAGCTGTGCATGCAGGAAACCCATAGTTATGCACAGCATTTCGGATTATATTCATCGTCACCTCCTACTGAAGTACCTTTAGATTCCAGAATGTTTTGGGAGCCCCTTGAAATGTGTGTTGGTTGTCACTTCAAGATGCAAGACTTGTGATAGTTGAGGTGATCAAAGGCCGTATCAGGTCAGGTGACACCGCCAGTAGTCATGGAGTCCTGAGTATGTCTCAATCTTCCCCAGGATTTCCAGGTGCTTCGATTTTTTTTTATATTCCTGGATATTTTCTATATCTTACCTGTCGATCTTCACTATAGGAAATTAATTATCAGTGGGATTGAGTCAGATCTGAGTCAGTAAATACTGACCACACATAGACACAAGAATTAAACACGTGTAACATCTCGATATTTTTATTTTTAAGACACCCAGATGTTGCACATGTGTCTAATTCTTCACTTTATCGGTATTGTAAACCATTCATGTACACAGACACAACAGACACTGTTAGGAACTCTCTCGCAGTTATTTTGAGCAACTGATTACCTAATCTGTTACCCACATCCCACAAGTGGTAATTTCAAAGACTTTTAGACATTGAGTGTCACGTGCTGGAAAAAAAAGGTTACTATCACTTACGTCGACGTTGAATCCGGATACAGCGAAGGCGTTCTTGGTGACGTTATTGGTGGGGATGTACTGATAGAAGAGCTTGTCTCCTCTGTACCACTTAAGGCTGTAGAGCGTGGCGTTCCCCAAGTTGTAGTGACATGAAAGCTCCGCTCGCGACCCCCGTACCTTAAACTCCGGTACCTCCACCTCCTGCAACTCTAGTGCCAAGCCACAACCTGCAGGAGTACCATCTGGGTTAGTACCTCCGCCTCCTGCAACTCCAGTGTCAAGGCACAGCCTGCAGGAGTACCACATGGGTTAGTATGTACCTCTACCTCCTGCAGCTTTAGTGCCAAGCCACAACCTGTAGGAGTACCACCTGGGTTAGTATGTCTATCCTCCTCCTGCGACTCTAGTGCCAAGCCACAATCTGCAGACACACCGCTAGTACCAAGCCACAACCTGCAGACACACCACTAGTACCAAGCCACAACCTGCAGACACACCGCTAGTACCAAGCCACAACCCGCAGACACACCACTAGTACCAAGCCACAACCCGCAGACACACCACTAGTACCAAGCTACAACCTGCAGACACACCACTAGTACCAAGCCACAACCTGCAGACATACTACCAGTACCAAGCCACAGCCTGAAAGCTAGTATTAAACCACAATCTGCAGACAGATCACTGGTACCAAGCCACAATCTGCAGACATACTACTAGTACCAAGCCACAACCTGCAAGCAGGTTACTAGTACCAAGCCACAATCTGAAGACAGACCTCTGGTACCAAGCCACACTCTGCAGACAGACCTCTGGTATCAAGCCACACTCTGCAGACAGACCACTGGTATCAAGCTACACTCTGCAGACAGACCACTGGTATCAAGCTACACTCTGCAGACAGACCACTGGTATCAAGCTACACTCTGCAGACAGACCACTGGTATCAAGCCACAATCTGCAGGGGTACCATCACATTTACCGCTTTGAAGTGAGCAGTGTACAGTTTAGTGAACATAAGAGATTAGGTTAGGTAAGGTTCGTCAGGAAACAGGACAAGTGTTTCTTGACGTGGGTCTTAGTCATATGATGACCCACAGCTGGAGCTTCTGGTCATGTAACCGAGGTCTTCTGCTGGCTTACCGGTCCATCCCTTTAAAAATTATTGTGCAGAGTAAGGGAGTATTGGGGATCGAACCCTCGACCTCCCACTGCTGCTCCCACTATCGTACCTACTAGACCATCCGGTGAACAAGTCATGTGTGTATCAAGTTTAGTCTCGGAAGATCTCGTAAGATTAACAATAATGGGAAACAGGTTTATAGTGGCTATTTCTTCACCCCTCCCCCTCAGCGTCACCCTTGCGGGTTTAAGTTTCTTCGTGAATATAATAACAGTGATTAATTTTCAAAATATGCTATCTAAAAGACACAATATTTATATGATATATACAAAACATGTCTGGCTGCTCACATTATGTGCGCTTAACATACCGTATTTCACAGAGTTAATTGATGTTAAAGCTCTCTGTCTCTCTCACACAGAAGTAAGACAACATGAAGACATGCAGAGTGGGTTACAGTGGTGGCGAAGTGATACAGCTGTATCACTTCGATGTAAACAATGGGATTTACCTCATACGTGTCTCACTCCCTCTTTATCTTCATTTACATCCACTATTTATCTTGTATATCTTTTCGTATCTCCCGTATACATATGGTATATATTCTTCCTGTCGTGCATCTATCGTATATCGTTTATATCTATCGTGTAGCTTTTTTGTATATTTCGTAGATTACATGTAGAGAGTTCGGGGGGTCTCTGCCATCGGGACCAGGTCGCAGACCAGGCCTCTTGGATGATGGTCTGATCCACCAGGATGTTGGTGCCAACTACACACACTCCAACATATGCATCACAGCTTGGCTGATCAGGAACCAGGGAAGTTATCGATTCTCATCTTGAAGACATCCAGGGGTTTGTTAGTAATCCCTCTCATGCATGAAGGAAGGGTGTCAAAGGCTGGTACATTTGTACTTAGTGAGTTACCCCTTAGTGTATTCATTCATTCCTACTTTCCATTAGAGATATTTTGTTCCCTCTGCCAAGCCTCCTGAAATAGGGAATGATTTTACTGTGCAGATTAGGAATCAGTCCCTCCAGAATTTTCCTGTTGTAAATTATTACGTGTCTTTCTCGCCTACGTTCCAAGGAGTACAGTTCGAGGGATTTCACGCGTTCCCAGTAATTTAGGTGTTTGTCTGAGTTTATACGAGGTGTGAAAGTTCTCTGGACATTCCTCAACTCTGCAGTTTTGCCTGTTATTGTGTGATAAATGGTTTTTAAACCAATAATCACACAAAGGGTTGTTAGTACAGAGCAACATCCCATCTCAGAGAGCACAAAAGTCTGAAGAGCACCATCACTGGCTTGATATCTCTTGTTTTGAAGTTCTGATTATCCAGCCAATCATTTTCCTTACGGCTGCTATCATAAAATCATGATCATTAAATGTGAC